TTGCGAATATGGAACAACTAAACAAGACAGCATATAATTTCAGTGTATCTTTAATATTGATTCCCTTTTTTAATATATTGAATTTTTTAAATAAAAAGAAAGCAAAGTTATTTGCAAGCGAGACTTTGAAATAATTTTATTGCAAACTCAAAGTTTATCGATAAAGTCATTTAATAGGCAATTTAGTTTTAAAACGTTTTGCGAAGCGTTTGTGGTTGAATTTTACCTTAAATTGAGGCTAATATTACTTATAATAACATACCTATACATATATATGTTGGGAAATTGATAATTTTGTAATTAAAAGTGATATTTTTAGGCGATTTTTCATTTGTAAGAATATTCTTAAAAATTCACAGGTTTTGTAGGCTTTCGCGCATGCGCAAAGCAAAATGATCTTTAACAAAAGACCAAATTCTACTAAATAAGGCAAAATTTCATTTTTTTTAAAAAATGTCAAAAAAGAGCCAAATCGTATCAATATTTTCGACTTACATTGGTGAGGTTATCTCTACTCTCTAGGGATAGAGAAGTGCAGTATGTTGATAGATAAAAAATTCAAATTTTAAAGCAAATTTTGTCATTTTTCGGGACAGACCTCTGAGAAGACATAGCTACAATGTTTGTCATTGGTTAGTTTTTCAGCTTTACGATTGGCTGAATTTCCTGAGATCTTATCGAGTGTCAATGAAATTAGGTTATCCTCTGTCAATTATACACAATTCTTACATTCTTACATGTTGCTTTACTGTTGCACATTCCTTCATAATAAATTATACTAATAAAATAGTGAAAATTCCTGTCACATGATAAAAAAGCCAAAATAGAGCTAAAAGGCCAAACATTTTTTTCAAGGCCAAACAAGAAATAAAAAAGCCAAAATCGAGTTATTAGGCCGCAAAAAGGGCAAGTTACTAAGCCTGATAATTCATCGTGTTAGCATGACAACTACTCTAGATACTTCATGTTCGGAAAATACAATGGTTTTGTCAGCAAGGCGAGGGTTTCTGCATGCATATATTTTCTAGTTATAAAATAGAATGAAGGAGTACAGGGTAATATGAATGGAGATTGGCAGAAGAAAATTCCAGGGAGTTTGTAGAGTCACCAATTTTACGAAGGTTGAGTACAAACTTTCCCTGCTGGCAGAGGTCTCTATTTGTGCTGGGAAGCGAAAGAGAAGAGACCTCTGCCTAGATCTGACACTTCCTCAGTCCATGATCGTGGACGAGTCAAACCAGTTTGTAAAACAAGTTCTGAAACCGGTTTAGAGAAACAAATAGTACACATGCTCAGAGCTGAATTGCGCTGTAATGACATTGAGTCCGTAGTGTCAAAATGGCGGCTTGCACAGCGTGGTCATTTCGATGTTTTTCATGTTGTTTGATGTGCTCTAAGTTATGTAATTGATATTTTCAAAGATGAAACTGTGAAAGCTGTGACAGAAGAACAAAAGAAAGCAATCTTTTCTCTTTTATCGGGCCGAGATACATTTATTTGCCTTCAAACTACGGTAAGTCTTTGAATTACCAAGTTGCTCTCGCAAAAACCGATTTGATATCACGTGGTGAAAATCACTCGTTGTCAAGGCAATTTTTGCACATGCGCGACAGAACACGTGTCAGATCTAGGCAGAGGTTTTTTCGATCTCCTTCGCTTCCCAGCACAAATAGAGTCCCCTGCCAGCAGGGAAATACAAACTGAGCAGGGTTTCTTATCCAAAATAAACCAATTAATTCAGCTTTTCTTCGTTTCATCAAATAATAAATATTTGAGCGTTTTTTGAAATAATTTTAATGTTTTTGACGGAGTGATAGTGTCACTGTCATCAAGCGAATTCCAGAATAGGGTCCCACTTTGTCTTAGGGTCATTTTTTAGTTGTAGTTCTTACTTGAGTCACATATAGTTTGCTGGCAGTTCTGGTATTTCAGTTGTGAATTTCATCATTATGAAGAAAGTAGATTTGGAAAATAGGTGGAAAGGTACGAGGGTAGGTAATGCATCTAAATATAAAGGCTTCAGTTTGATTATTGATTTATGTCATAAACCGTCAATAATTTCAACTTAAAAAATAGGGGTTTTGTGTGATCTCTAAATCCAACATTAGCAATTTTTCGTATAGTATCATACGTTTTTGTAGTTTAAAAATTTTTTCTAGATTTGTACTATATGTTTTAGCCCAGATAATTTTACAATATTGTATATAATTATGGTAACAACATCGTGCAGTATAGTGATCGACGTACTGTGGCTGAAATTAATGAATTAATTTTATTTATAACACCAATGGATTTTGACATTTTTAGAGAAACGCTATTGATATGTGGCTTCCAATCAAGATTTTAATGAATATGAACACCAAGGAATGTTTTGTATAGTGCTTGTTTCTAGCACAGAAAATAATACATTTGGTGTTCTTCAGATTTAACGAAAGTTTGTTTGATTTAAACCAGGTGGCTATAACACTGAGCTCTTGGTTTGTAATCTGAATCAGTTTAGTAAGGTCTGTCATCTGCAAACAGGATTATTTTTAAAAGGGAAGAGCAGTTGGAAATGTCATTCACATATATTGAAGTTGGAAATATCATTCACATATATTACGGTTCTACTTACGTCCAATATGGTAAAAGTTGTAGGAAATTTCAACTGCCTTTTTTGAAGGCACATCCAGGGTAAGCTTACAATTCAGATTGGCACCATAATTATCAGCGAATCCAGGGGAATGGACACGACCAATAGCACTGGGGGTGATTGATCTGGTCGGACACACACTCACTGCTGGGGGTAAACCAGTTGCTAGAAAAAATAAAGATAGGAATATTCTATTTACACAGGATGTAGCAAAAAACTGGAATCGATCTTTGGCATACCAATTTGTGATATAAGTCAAAGTTTCTTTTCGTTAATTGTGTTCGATATCCATACTAGTACTAGTTTTATAGCTTTTCAAGCATTTTTTTACAAACGGTTGAAGAAATCACTACAGATATTCGACCTTCGCTCAACTAGCCCTAGTGAACATGGCAGAATATAGACCCATTGCACTGACGTCACAAATTCTTAGAGTGTCCTCCAGATGCTCCCTAACAATATCTGTTCGGGTACAAAAACCACATACAGCGAAAAATTAACCATTCTAATACAAAATTATCATAAAGTTTTACAAAATTTGCTTTGTTTGCAAAAGTTATATTATGCATAGATTGCTAATTTGTCCTCCAGATGCATCATCACCGGCGCTGTGACGTCATGTGCAATGGGTCTATACATGCTGACGTGTACTAAAAATGAATGAGGAAAACTGCTAAATTATTTAAAGAAATAGTCGGCAAAGTTCCAGATTTACTCATAGAGTTTCGAGACCAAGAAAAGGTTGTACGCCCACAAGAAATATTGCTTGAGTCAAGCACAATTAAAAATCTATTTAAACTTACAATTTGAGCCCTATTTTACCACCAATGTTGTAATAATCACCAATTACTTTCGATTAATTCTTACTTTTTTAAGGTAACGAGAAACATTTTGAAGAAAGCAATTCGCGTTACTTCTGTGTATACTTTTTTTTTTTCAAACTCGCCATATCTGGAATTTTCAGAAGAAAATTGCTTTGAAGTTGAATGTCTGTCGAGTGTTATAACTGGTCATGCAACTACACAGAAATTTCCCTACTTCAATTAACTTAAATAACAAATTCAACGCAATTCAATTATAAGACTTGTCTTTTTAATGTCGCTTAGGTACATGCTTATACTGTTGTAGTCCAATCTTTTTATCACCTAAGCCAAACGTAATATTCGGCAACTACTTTTGAAGGAATTAAAATTTGATTTATAATAATTAGTTTTAAATTAAGGGAGGAAATTTTTACTCATTAGCTTTTGGGTAATTTTTACAACACAGGTCACCACAAATGAGTCAGAATAAAGCAAAACAAAAGCGCCGGGAATTCTTGACTGAGCCCTCAATGTCATGTAATTAATGCTCAGAGACATAACCATTTTTCTCTGCAATTTCGGCCACCTCAATATATCAACAGTCAAGGGTGACTTTAATATGGGAGCTGGGATTTGTCTGGCGCCCTCCCTCCCGGTTTAAGACAAGTCTTCTGCCGCCTTATTTCCCTCTGTCGCCCCTGAAGACACCGAAAATATTGCTTACTCTGAACGGTGGTGAAGCTGAGATCAAAACCGCTTTGTTCAATACTACCATCTGTTACCATTTTCAATGTGACGACATTCAGGCCAAGTACAAATGGCGCCGGAGTGGTGTTCCCACAGAATTTTTTTGATGAACCTCCAGATATAATGAGGTAATCATAACACTTGAATTCTGTAAAGTAAGTAAGTAGATATATTGTATATAATAAATAATTGATAACATGTAAACTGGGGGGCACTAAGAGACTGGATAATCCGTCAGGTTATGTACTGGGCATAAATTGTACAATGGTCTAATGACGCATGTAATTTACTAGGATTGGCAAACATTTCCTAATTTCTTATCCAATCTTCATTCAAATTTAATCAAAATTAATCAATTTGTCCTTGGGCAATCTTTAATATTTTATCATGACCATTAACAATTTTACATGCAAACCTCAGACGTGGGAGTTTCCCAATTAGCTGCGCAGATATGAACATGCCATAAAGTGTAACATAAATTAAGTTACCTACCGTCATTGTGATCACTCTCAAAATCAAGCTTGGTGAAAGTGAAAGTAAAGTTTGTGTCCAAGGGTTGTTTGATCTTGAGTGTACAATCAGTGTTTGAGGAGTAGTTGCTTGGATAGTTAGGCGACCTAATCTGTCCACTGGATGTTGTAATCTCTCTTGTTGGGCAAATATTGATTGCTTGGCCTGTGGGAAAAGTACAACAGTTATATTTCTCGTATATATATAAAGTACAACAGTTATATTTCTAGTATATATCTCTAAAATTTTTATATTATATAAATTTGGAAATAAATGTTTTCAAATAAACTCCATGCCACCAGTAACTTTAGGGACTAAGCTCCCCTCCCCCCAGCACCCGTAACAGCTTCCACAGGCGGGTTAAGCCGCACCCTCCTTCCCAGTCTCTTCCCTCTTGTGGAGAAAAGACCCTGGTCGGAGCTGGTCACGTGTCACGCTGATTTTGCGTTGTCATTGAGATTGATCTTAGGGAGGGATAGTAGAGGAGTCTGTTTGTTGCGTTTGGAAAATTCCAACTTCATGTTTTATAGTTTCGGGTGATACAAATGTAATTTACTGCAAGAAATCGTGAAAGTAATTTTTCTAAATTCGTATTCATCATGACAAGACTCCCTGCTATACTGAATGTCATCAATAATAAATGTTCGGTACATTTCAAGCGAGAAGCTGGATCATATTTGACTTCCAAGGAAAGGACTCCGCACAGGGCCGTAGCTACCATTTATAGTTGGAGAAGGGGGGGGGGG